GTTATTCGGCTCAAGAAAGCCGGCTTGTACTGTACTACTGTGTGTTCCGTATAGTATACTACATTTCTAAGTCGACAAAATGGCTTTGCAAACTGCAACGAATAGCGCCATGAATAATCTTAAAACCAAAATGGCTGTATTTAAAAGTGAGAACGATGAGCTCAGAACTGTTTGTGAAGAGCTTAAAAAAGAATGCCATCGTAAAGATGAACATATAAGTCAGGTCTGTATTGCATTTTTAGGTTTTTACACAGTGACGAGATCTATTTTCTGTTGGTAATGGTAGGGAAATCAATGACGAAGGACAGTGAGGTTTTCTTCACTTCCTCATGACAAAATATTAGATCTACAATATACAAATGTTAGTATAATCTAGATCTATATGATTTTTTACTATGGAATGTTTCACTTATAATAAGTTATTTGTAGCCTACAGAATTAAACCATTTGCTTTACTTAAAAAAGCTTAATATTAGTAGGGATTTTGGTAAAAAAACACTAATCATCATATAAAAATAAAAATTACATATTCTTGTAGAGCTCAACAAAATGAAAACAAAACAAAAAAGATTTTCTGTCTAGCTCAAATAGTTTTTTTTTAGCGAATTTTTTTGTGAGGGGTGGAATCCCCTTGCTTTTGCATTGGCCAATTGTGACAAGTGATGGTATACCTGAATAAATTGAGCATAGTTATTTTACTTGCAGTTGTATTTTGTTCATATTTGCAGAGTTTAACTAGAATGATATATAGAACTTGTAAATGCTATTGAAATGAATAAAAATAATACAGAACTTATATTTTTGTGTTGGCTTCCTCCCATAACCCCAAAAAAACTGTGTGCTGCGCAAATATGAAAATGTTTCTAAAGCCATATTTTATATAAATACAGCAAATGAAAGAACTACAAAGTTAGAAATCTAAAGTAAATGACTTGAACACTGTTATGTGAATATAATTGCCTCATTATTTTGGGCAGGTGAAGTAGAGTCCATCTTTAAGCCATTTTGTTATAAAACTGCTGCGCAAATATGAAAATGTTTCTAAAGCCATATTTTATATAAATACAGCAAATGAAAGAACTACAAAGTTAGAAATCTAAAGTAAATGACTTGAACACTGTTATGTGCATATAATTGCCTCATTATTTTGGGCAGGTGAAGTAGAGTCCATCTTTAAGCCATTTTGTTATAAAACTGCTGCGCAAATATGAAAATGTTTCTAAAGCAATATTTTATATAAATACAGTGAATGAAAGAACTCCATAGTCAGAAATCTAAAGTGAATGACTTGAACACTGTAATGTGTCTATAACTGCCTTGTTATTTTGGGCAGGTGAAGTAGAGTCCATATAAAAGCCATTTTGTAATAAAATTTGAAGTTATTAGATCAATGTTTTTATGTGTGAATTGTGTATGGATTCTGATTTTCAGCATATAACTATATCTAAGGGTAAGTAGAACTTGAATACTTAAAATTACAGTTAGCACAATGTCAGTGTATAGCAACAGACAGGTAACCTAGATCTAGGTCTGACTCTTGTCAGTCTAGTCTGACAAAATTGGATTTTTAGGAAAAACATATTCTGCAAAACTAGAACTAGAGCTGAAAAAATTGAAGATGGGTATGTAAATATATTTTGAAATAAAAAAATTAGGAGATTTGTTTGCACATGCCATAAGAATGCTGTTATTAGTTGATCAAACTTAAAGGCCGGAAGATCGGGATGAAAAAATATAACAATGGTGGCAGCGTGACCTACATACAGTGACTTCGTTCGGAGCAGTATAACTAATGTCGGAGTCAAAATATCCAAAAACAAATTTCATTTCCACATACTTAAGATATGTCTGATCAGTAATCTACTCTCACCTAGAATAATCTTTTAAAAAATCGTGATTCCAACGTATTTGAAACTAGCCTTCATGCAGGGGGAAGACCAAAGCAGAGACAGCGTGCGATCAGATCGCTAAGCCATCAAAACAATGGGAAAACCATTCTACTTTTCATTTAACATTAGGAAATGACCTTTTAAACTTAATTAATTACCATAAATTAAAAACTTATTAGTATGCAAAACCAAATCTCGTGCGCCCGGTATCAGAAAGTAATGGGCGATTTCGGGTCATGTTTTTACCGCGATCTCGGCCGATACCGACAACCCTAATATTAGATCTAATTCAAATCAATTGGCTAGAACATTTATCTTAGCACCACCTCCCCCCCCCCACCCCTAAATAAAAAACAACTAAATAATAGGATTAATTAATAGTTAATTGGCTAGATCTCTGGATCTAGTAATATTACAAATTGCCTACTTAGAATCTAGACTCAGAACTCAGTCTCTAGATCTAGATAATATTAAATTATATTAGGCCTAGGGCCTAGGCCTATTTCAAACAATTTAAATTTATTGTAGGTCTAGATTTTAGATCTAAAGATCTATATCTAGTCCTATAACATTTAATAATCTAGAGGTAGATTCTAGATAGGCCCCTATAGAATAGAAATTTAATAGAATTTAATAGATCTAGACTAGATAGAAAAATGTAGATCTTTGTAAACCAGTAAAATCTACTTGGGTTAACATTCACAACCTTAAACAAATTGCAAGTTCTCAAAAAAGTGTGATTAGGTAGGATCATTCTTTAAAAAAATAAATTTAATTGGTAGCCTATTAAATTAATTATCACAAAAAACAGTTTGAGATTAATAAAAAAAGACCCTACTTTTTACCCTGTTTGTGGGATGTGGCAAATGTAGTTACTTATTACTTAATTTTAACCCTCCTTCAAACGTAGTGATTTTGTACAAACTGTCTTCTTCTTCTATGACAATGCAAGAATATCCTATTTTAATCTAATGAGACTTTGAATTGTTAAAATTTAATTAAAAAATTACTAGGCCTAGGCCTATATCCAATAATAAAACAGAAGATGAGAAGATTACTTAAATACAAGCAATCAGTTAGTCAGTCGTTTGGTTGATTTTATTCCCAGGTTGTTTACTACAAAAAAGTAGGGGCAGATAACTGTCTTTTAGAGAGCACAAGCTACTGGTCAGGTTTTAATGCAAATTTTTGTAGTCATAGTCTATGTATTGTCAACATCCTTTTGAATAATAAAATGGATGTAAAAAGTTAAAAGCCGTTTTAACAAGCATTTAAATTCACTTGAAATAAGAAAATACAACTAATTTCCTTTTTTAATAAAAGCTTTCGTTGCTATAATATGTAAGAGATGTAATAATCAACCAAAGCTTTTAATAAAGAAAGCAAATTAGTTTTATTTTCAGTGCACTTAAAAGCTTGTTATTTTAAAGGTTTTTATATCTATTCTATATTATTTATCGGCATATATAAACTAATTAGTGACATTCTTTTCTGTTATTAGGAATCTAGATCTTCTAACTAATACAAATGTAAGAGGCTGCTAAAATTAAATATCTTCCTGTAGGTCTAATCAATAAATAATTACAAGCTTAGTTCTGTAGTAGTGTACCTATTTATTGAACTTCCTAGCTGTAAGTGTAAGTAAATTTATTAGCATATTTAATTTTGTAGGGTCAAACATTGTAGAGGGCAAGGCTTGCTCTCTTCCAGGGTATCATTGCCAGGCCTATGCCTATTGATAATTATTTCTTACTTATGAAAAGGGATTAAACTTAAACTTGGCCTATTATATTATTAGGCCTAAATAAAATACAGAAAAAGTAAACAAATTTATATAGGAATTTAATTAGGCTTTTATATCATACCTAGTCTAAATCAACATAATAAAACAAATAGTTTTAGCCCAACAGTTTTAGTATTTTTTTCCAAATGTATAAAAGTTACTTTAGTTAGCTACTTAATTTATTTTTTAATGTAAAATACATGGCCTACTGATGCTTATTATTTTAAACAATAGGAGCTTTTGTAATTGCCGACATTATTAACATTATTAAAAAAACCCAAAAGAACCACTTAAAGCTAATGTCAGTTGTATTAGGCTGGGATAAAACAATAATTTAAACCATTACCTAAACAGAGATGCTCCAGCTATTGATTAGAATGATTCACACCAGTGTATGTCAATTTTCTTTCTCTAGTAAAGGATTTAAAAACACCAATTAATGCTCTACAAATGTAAATCTTAACATTTTCAACAATTTTGCCTAGATAATTATCGTAACTACTTAACTAAATATAAATATCACTTAGGAGATTTGAGAAAAACAGGTATTCATATTAATCTTCTTGTTTTATATCTTACTTATGACTGATTTTAATTAAAATTGTTTCTAAAGATTGAAACAAATTTTGATGGCTACTGAGATATATTAAGTTTATTAGCAATTGGTATAAAAATTTAATTATGAGAAAGACTACTCTTGTACTAAAACGAGGCCTGATTACCTGTTGCATTGTGTGTAAACATATGACAATATCAATTGAGCATAGATAAATATGAATTGCATTGTTATTCTCTCTACTTAAGTACTACATTTTTTGTAATAATAAAAAAAATATCTATTAATTTTTTATTAAAATCATGTTATTACAAAAATGTGAATGGCCAAAAAAAATTAACTTGCTGTTAAAAACAATACATTTAAAATACAGTATAAACTAATTATAAATAACTTTTGCATAAGAGATTATATATTTTTCTATGTTGTTTTACCAAAGTAAATTATATTGACATTAATTATAAATTGTATTTGCATCGTTAAACCATATCATCAATTTACAAAAAAGTAATTTTTGTATATTTATCTTTTATATTTTACCAGTCTTATTAATTGTAATTAGGTTTAAAGGTTATTGTTTTATTGACAAAGCTATAATGTAAATGGTTTTTTTCTTTAATTACTAGCAGCATTTAAAATATTAACACATTTTATTTCTAATGTGTGAAATCTGTTTCTGTTATTCATGCTTTGTTTTGAATGTAAATAAGTGAAGGAATACTCCTATGTCATGACCACAACAGAAAAAATATATAAAGTGTGTATTTTTCAGCTTGAAAGTGATGCTGCTGGATTGAACAGACGTATCCAGCTCCTGGAGGAGGACTTAGAAAGATCAGAAGAACGCCTTCAGAGTGCCACAGAAAAGTTAGAAGAGGCTTCAAAAGCAGCAGATGAGAGCGAAAGGTGGGAATAAACTGTGTTTATTGTCAATTAGCAGTTATATAATTTAAAGCTAATTAAATTAACATGAGAAATGTGGTAGATTATAATGGCTCACTCTCATAAATTACCAAAAAAATAGCCATATAAAAAATATATTGCATTTTGTGTTGAATTCAAAACATTCTAAAGAAAACACATACCCATTAATTGAAAAGTCTATTGCCCATGTATGAAGGTGAATTCAAAACATTTTAAAGAAAACATACCCATTACAAGTCCATTGCCCATGTATGAAGGTAAATCCTAAAGAACATCAATATAAATTAAAAGAGTTAAAAAGAATTAGAATTTTTGCACGAATGTTTAATCATGCATTAACAATGTGTCATTAACAAATCTAGGCATATTTTAATAAATAGGCCTGTATATTTCATGATAAAAATGAAAATTAACCTCAACCTATTATTTTATTTTTTGTTTAATACACGAAATAGCATTATAAATCTTTTCCCAGTTTACAATGAGGCGCCTAAAAATCTACAGACAGCTTTTTTTGGGAGTAGATGCTTTCTCTTATCAGCATCTTCATATTTCCTATGCATGTGTTTTCCCTTGTGTTTGCATGCTTTACTTATCCATGAACTCAGGCAGCGACGAACCGTAGAAAACAAATTATGCGCTGGGGATGAAAGACTGGAAGAGGCAGAAATCCATCTCAGGCAAGCAAGACAGGTAGCCAGTGAAGCTGAAGCCAGATATGATGAGGTAAGCCATCCATTAGCCCTGAATGGATGTTCACAGCTCATTGCAATACAGTTCACTCGTCTTGGTGCAGAAACTATTGCATTGCCCTGAAAAAGAATACAGATGCCCTATACGCACCCACAGATTTGTGAACTCAAATTGTAAAGTGCTTGATTACTAATATATTTTCTTTTGTTACAGGTATAAAGGGAAGAGCTGCATCACATTTGAATGAAATGTCTCTGGTGTGATAGTGCTGTGTTTCTAATACTAACATTTTTTAACTTCCAAATATTGCCAGAGGGCGCAAGGTCTTGGAAAGCCGCAGTTTGGCTGATGATGAGAGATTGGATGGTCTTGAAGCTCAGCTTAAAGAAGCCAAATACATTGCTGAGGATGCTGAGAGAAAATATGATGAGGTGACTGCTTGCCATGATTTGGCTGGCATGTTTGAAGCTGCTGTTGATTAATGTCAGTTGATGAGTCTAGCTTGTTGAAACTCTGCAGCAGATATAACCACTATAACCTGCATTGTATTTTAACACATTACCAAACTGCTTTTTTTGGTTTGCTTTGTCTTTTTATACATTTTTTTCACTCAACAGATGCTTCTGTTTAATGTGGCACTCTTACCTATAGTCTCTCTAGTTTTCTACTTCTTAAATTCTTTCCCTCTTGGCGTACTTTTGAAATAAGCTTGACGCTCCCGCGAACAGTAAATCAGCTGAGAACTTTCCAAGCAGCAGCTTTTCTTAAGTGAGCGAGTCATAAAGCGCATTATAGCCCCGCGGCTGGCAGCAAGCATTACCAACGGCAGCTAAACGCAGCGATTATAAGAACTGTGAGTCATCACTTGCTTACTTGTTTTGTTTAGAGGGCGAAAAGTGTTGGAAAACAGAAGTCAAGGAGATGAAGAAAAGCTTGAGTTCCTGGAAAAGCAATTGGAAGAAACCAAGTGGATAGCTGAAGATGCAGATCGCAAATATGATGAGGTGACCTATCGGGCAGCCTGTAACCAGCTCTGTTCCTAGTTACCTCCCATTGGAAATGTATTTCTGCTGCCTTTTATCCAGAAGACTTTTTTAACGTTTTGATAGTTTTAGGTTGAGAAGTTTGAGATTGTCTCCCTATTTCAGTCATGTTGTTTCCCTCACCATATAAGGAAAGCAAGACTACGAATAGTCCATCAAACTTTTGTAGTACAGATTGATTTTTAGTGCATTCTGTTTTAAGGTGTTCAGCCTGTTTTTGAATGTGTGTGAACAGCACTTATAGTTATATGCTAATTCTTCATAAGTAATATTTCCAGGTTGTGGAGGATACTATTTCCCTTTTGCTACCAACCTTTTCAGACCAAATTTGCCACTATTTCTCTTCTATCAATTGTTTTGATAAAATGTTTTAACAATTCACAAAAAATTCTTTTCATTACTGTAAAATCAAAAGTTTATTTTAAAAGTCAGTCCATTTGGCAATTTTTAAAAGTAATGAAAAGAGTTTAATTGTATTTTGACACTATTTAACATTTATTCTTTGTGTGAATAATGCCTTTAAAAGTTTGAATTAACCTCAGATGCACCTCTGTGTAATGCAGCCTTCAAGCAGCAATTGATTAGAGCATGAAACACTTTAAAAATGGCATGATTGCATGGTGTGATGCCCAGTTACCACATTTAGATCTAAATTTAGATCCTCATAAATACATTAATGATAAATTGGAACAAATTGAGCATGATTTTTAGATAATGAAAAGCACAACCTGTCATAACAAAAATTTGCATAATGAGGTTGTTTTCTTAAAATGTAACTTCCTGACTAAATTTTTGCCTGCTCCTTTTAAAATTGAAAATATTTTAATTAAAATTCTCACTTAGAAACAGTAGCATGCTTTCATTGAAAGTTTTTTTTTCCCTTAAAACAAATGCAGGTACTAATATAAATTATATACTTTGACATGTTATTAATTATGGAAACTTTACAAGTTATGGATTTCTGTTTTAATTCAAGACTTTTTAGTGAAAAGTTGTGAGTTCTTTAAAGTTTATATAGATGAGGTGTGAAGTGGTTTGCTCAAAGCTAGAAGACTTAGATGGTAATTAATTTGGGCATTACATTCAATACACTCATGACTTGACATACAAATGAGTTGCTCCCTGGGACACAGCTGTGGAGTTAAGCTAGAGAATATTGGGGTTTATGGTGTTTGGTGTGTCCTTACAGGCTGCTCGTAAGCTGGCAATCACAGAGGTGGATCTTGAGAGAGCTGAGGCTCGTTTGGAGGCTGCTGAGGCGTAAGTAGTGGCACTGGCCACTAATACTATGTTTTCATGACAGCTTAGTGGAGTGATTTAATGTGGTTGTAGTAAAAATCATTTATAATACACACCAGCTTATCTGAAGAAAATTAACTACTACAAACCTCATTTTTAATCACTCCACAAAGTACTTAAAGATTTAGTGATTGAATACATTTTTTTCAAAAATTCTATTCAATGGCATAAAAATGCTTTAATATTTGGATAACTTCCTTAAAAGTATTCATCACTATGTCTATATGATGTTTCAAGCATGTTTTGTTTGGGAATGTTTCTTATCAATGTTAATTAGCAATCCCAAATACCTTGCTGGAGACAAATGTTTTGAGGCTAGCAGCTCTTGCTTGGAGTTACTGTCATTTAATTTTTCACAAATGTGCTAACTGTAAAGCAAGGGCTGACTCCACGCCTACAATGTCAATTACTAAATGGAATCATTCCAATGTTTGAGTGTTGCATGTCTTCTCAAACTGTGCTATAGGCTGCTCGCAAATTGGTGGTCTTAGAAACTGAATTAGAAAAAGCTGAAGAACGAGCTGAAAAGGCGGAGAGGTATGCTTAATCCTGTTATACGTTTTCTTATACATTATGTATCTGTTAAGACACCAACTTGAAAAAAAAAACAGACTACTTTGTTTTGTGGAGCCTAAAGACAAACCAGGATAGTGTTTGAACCCATAGTGTTGTGAGAAAAATATGAGCATGGAGTACAAAAAGTAATAGCTATTTTAACATAGTATGCATGGTTTGAACTTAACTCATCTAATGGGGTTATTTTATTTAGCTTTAATAAGTAACTTTAAACAAACTTTAAATCACTACACCTGTGTGCTTGAGTAACACAAAATTAACATCAAATGTTAACTTTCATATTTATTAGAAAAGTAGTTTCTACTAATTAAAAAAAAGCACACTTAGTTCTTTCTTTTAAAAAAGGAATGAACCTAACACTAAAAACTAGTAAATTTGAGTCCGTATACTCTCAACAAACAATATTAGAAATTTTTCTTTAACACACAGCTTACAATATATGATTAGAAGTGGTAATCCTAGCTTTTTATTTTGGTGATTATCTGAATGTCACTGGTGGTAATGTGGTTTACTGAAGGACTTAAATAATCAAGAAGTTGTAAAGATAGTCAATACAATATAATATATTGAAAATGGATTTTTCCTTAATCTGATACATTAGCTTAATTATATGGTTGTCTGGGCAACGTAGATGACACTTATTTCCACTTGTGAACTAAATTAGATGAATTATTTAACTAAATCTTTACCCTTGATATTTTTTACTTGCTATCATGCACTTCCATTCCAAGTTCAACGCCAGTCTTCAAATTAATGCATTCAAGTGGAAATGAATGAGCTATTGATAAAGTAGATATCTAACCAGCATGTAGATTAACCGCATGTTGTGATTGCTGTTGAATTTTGCAGGAAAGTGAAAGCCCTAGAGGATGAAGTACATGCGCTAACCAATAACCTTAGATCATTAGAGCGATGTGAGGAGAAGGTAAGATGTTTTTGAAAGTACCTCCAATCATCGCAGCATCCTATTTTGGACTAATATTTTAATAACCCTGACCATCTTGCTCTGCAACATTTTCACAAGACTTAGATTTTAAATTTAATGCAATATCAGGCAAACTTAATAAGTGTCACTTTAAGCTTGTGGAATGTGAAAGCAAACTAGGTCAAGTTTTAGACTGACAACAATTAAATGCTACCTGGATTTAGAACTGAAAAATTCATTTACAATTTATTTTGAAATTTATATTTTTGTTTAATTGATATTTCCCGCTGGGAGATACCCTAATAAAGCCAGTTAGCATCAAGGAGTTGTCAGTCGGCGATTGCTGGACATAGCCAAATGTATCAAGCTTCACTGTGAAATGAAATTGAAAAAAACTGCAGACTGCCCTGGCCCACTCAGTAAAATTTTGGTTGGACAGAGTTGGGTTGCAGCCCCCACCGTGTGGCCAATTCTTTGCTGTTCTCTACTTTGGTGGTTGTTCGCATGATGATGTTGACTTGTGAGCCCTCTCTGCCTATTGTAATTCAGATTAATCTTGTACAAAGCCAGTACCTGTCAGCTTGATTGGTTATTTGGTCACGTTTGCTCTAACTCAGTACATCCACCTTACAAAGCAGCTTAAAGACTTTGGTGAAAGATCCGTAAAAAATTCTATGGAGCACGTTTCAATTGGTTTTACAAAACTGGTTACTTGTGGAAGTTCTTTTCTTGACCAAACGATAATAGATTTTTGAAGCTGTTGTAAGTGGATGTAAGGCATGGATCAAGGCTGATCAGGCTGGGGAATGCACAAACAGCCATCCAAGTAAACATGGTAGCTTTTTTGTTTTCTTCTTCCCTTTCCAGCAAAATTTGGGAGCTTGATGAGGAGCTACATGTAGTGGGTAACAATATCAAAACCCTGTCCATCCAAAATGATCAGGTAAGCCGGGGCCTCACCAAGGGCCAGGCCTGCGGTTTTTTTCTGCCAGCATTCGTTGTATAATTTAACTTGCTCTGTTCTTGCAGGAAGATCCTTGAATTGGAAGAAGAGTTGAAGGTTGTGGGCAACAATATGAAATCTTTGGAAATCAGTGAACAAGAGGTAGAATTGCAGAATTTAAGCTCGCTCCCTCCTGGAAACCTGCATGGTGTCCGTCAATTCGTGCCGTTATTCTATTTATTTGAATTTAAACAAACAAGGCTACACAGTTTTGTTTAATAAAAGCGTGTCCATGCATGCCACAACTCCAGAGAGCCCAAAATATATACCTTCCACCCATAACATGAAATTTGCCAAAAAAACCGAAGGATATTTCAAGTTGAGGTGTCAAGGAACATGTCAAGCTTCTCACACAAAAATGATTCTTACCACTTTAGCCGTAACGAGTTTTCACTCTCATGAAGGATTTCTGTAACAGTGTATCACAAAATGTTCACTTTGAGCCTGACAAGTTCCAAACATCTAGAAAATTAGATCCCGGCCGAAGATCCAGAGCCTCTTGTTTTTGAAGAATCATAATAATTTAATTCCATAGCATTAAACCTATTAATTGAGGTAGCACAATAGAACCCATTGAGAGTAAAGTATGGTTGCTTCGAAGCATGGTAGGATCAAGTTTCCCTTATTGAGAAAACAATTCTCAGTATCAAATGCAAGAGTTGGCAGGATTAAACCAATGCAATGCTGGTTTTTTTTTTTTTAATTTTGTTACATTTTCATATTTAGCTTTTTTTTTCTTGTTTTGTTCTTTTGTTTTCTGCAAATGATGATATGAGGTCTTTTCTTCAGTCAGTGAGAAACCACGTCAGCTTCGTGAAATGTGCATTAGTTTAATCTATGTTGATGTGCAGCATCAACTTTTGCTTCAACATCAATTTTTTCAAAAGAGATGGGAAAGTCTGAGCCAAAAAAAAAACACTCTGAATGAGTGTCATGGATAGAAATAGTTGATGAAAGCAACTAAATTGAGCAGAAACGTTATTTTTCATCCATCCTAACTAACATTAAACTTCCTCTTTCCATTCTAGTTAGGCCATACATAATGAGGCTCTTAGCTTGGATCACTTTATTAAAAAAGTGTAAATTTAAATGGTTAAAATATTTTGGGCCCTCAGAAGGATGAACAATAAATTTATAACCTGAAATATGTGAAGAGCCACTCATCAACTAACCCTAGTGTGATATCTAAAAATCTCTGCATGTAATCACAAGAAGTGAAACATTCATCTGGACCTCCACATTTTTCTTTTTTTCTCAAGTTCTGGCTTATCCTTGAGTTGATTTGCTTTGATTCAGATGTAGAAACTTAGATTTGATTTCAGTTCTTTAACATTGCAAACATTTGAGCTTAAAAGTAGACCATTGAATTGACTACTTAAAAATGTCATTAACCCCTGCCATGAATAATAAGCATGACAATGAGTGATACAGTAGTATGTACAATTTTTTTCAGCATCAGCCATGCAGAGTAAACCTGCTCTTTGTTTTAGTTGTGTAGTTAACTTTGATGTGGACTAGCTCTGTTAGTTAGGATTAGTTCTGTGACAACTAGTATCAGTGGGACTCTAGTAGTATAAAAGTTGAAACATGGTATCTCTTATTTAGTTAAAAAATAAATCCTGTTGCCTGTGTGTCTGTACATTAACACTGTCCTCTAATGATTAATCTTTTTAAACTCTTGGCTATTGTGATCTTCACATATTTCCTAAGCTCTAAGTCCACAACTTTTTTGTCTATGGAAAGAGGAAATTTAAACTTTGCTAAATTCAAGTTTTTCTAAAAAAAAAGAAAACATTTTAGGTTGGCTCAAACATCAACTTTTAAACTATCACCACAGGTTTAAATATGCAGGTCCACTCTGCTATACTTTTTTTTTGTCACGGAAAAGACATGCTTTATTAAAAGTCATCTCTTTTTTGCATTGACTTGAACTAATTGCCTTTATGATGCTGCTTAAAATGTGACATTTATTTCAGTCTTTGTATTTAATTTAAAGCTTCTGCCATAACATCCTTAGCATCTGTTGACATGATTGATGCTCAGCTGCAGACCTCATATCATTTACAATTTTATAATCTCACTCTACAGTTTAAAACATATTGTCTCACCAGCAGCCATGCCAAAAGTGATGTACATATATGATAATGTTAACTTATCCACCCACAGGCCTCCCAGAGAGAGGATAGCTACGAGGAGACAATCCGAGACCTGACACAGAGGCTGAAGGATGTGAGTCACTGCATGTTTGTTGTTTTATAACTTGAGCCTTTTTTTTCATGTCAATGCATTTTTGTTCAGGTTTAATGTTCATCTGCTATTTGTTGACAAATATATATATTTAAATTTGGAAACTAAACTAATGCATTGTCTTGACGTATGGATTTACTTAACCATGCAGCTTTTTGTTTCTTGTTAGCAAATTGTATTTAAGAATTTAAAATATTACTTAAATTTAATTATTTGAGTTTTATATATAGTTATTTCAGTTAATATTTAACATTACATTTATCACATTACCAGGTTGATTTCTGTTAAATTAGGTCTAAAAATGACCTTTTAATTTTTGCCAGAATTGTTAGTTAAATTATAGATATCAGCAACACTGACAACTGAGAAATCTAAAAAAAAAACAACCAATTTCTTGGGTCTTAAGTTGAAAACTTCATTTTTCTTGACCCTTGTCCTCTTAATAAAATTCAGGCTGAGAACCGTGCCACTGAAGCTGAGCGCACAGTATCCAAACTGCAAAAAGAGGTGGACAGATTGGAAGGTAGACACATTGACCCTAACAGCTTGCCAGCCTGTCACCTTGCTCTGAGCATGTGCATGACTTTCTTATGCTGAAGGGATTTTTTTTGTCAGCTCTAAGCTAAACTCAGCAGGAAGCTTGTACTACCACCTCTAATCTTAACACCCCTGGTTCCAGCTATCTTGTTTGGTACTTTTCATTGTTTTTCAGTTGTTACCAATGCCACATCTGTTGTGGAAATGAGAAGAAAAAGATTTTAATATCTTTTTTTTACATTTGTTTCCTCCTCAAGTTTGACTGTATTGTGTTAGTGTCACAAGATGTTTCTGCCGCTAGAATGAACATGAATTTTTGCATGATTGGGATTTCTCCTTTTCTGCTCACATAGCATTTATTTTTCACAACAAATCCTTCACCTAAAATCATTTGACAATTAATTACTTCACATCTAGTGTTTACTATTTTTTTTTAAAACTACAATCACCTTCATGCATTTATTCAATTCACACCTGTCAAAATAGCTAAATAACTCACCAGCACAATAGTGGCAAAACCTTTTACAAAGCTGTTTCAGGTACTGAAATTTTGAAATTAAAAAATATTGAGGCAAATGCTAAAAAATTCTGCCACTTGGTGCCATAACATCCTAAAAGGCAACAATATCTTTTTTTTTTTTTTTTGAGGAATTACATTTCTTGCTACACCTGTATAGGAAGCCACAAAATGTCGCTTTGCTCTGATAAAATTTATTTCATCTCACCTGACTGACATTTAATATTTCTTGAGGGTTAGCACCAGATTTTACATACACTTCAGCTTGCAGGAGAACATTTTACTGAAGTAATTTGTTTTGTTGCATTTAAATCCTATGTAAACTGTTTGCTAGCACTCGAACCCTTTCACCAATAATATGGATTGCTATCAGCATGGCTTTTTTCATCCTGTCTAATTTTTACAATGCATGTGTTCCATCCAATATACAGGCAGAATCAAGAGCAGAACATTTAGAAAGAGAGGCAACTTCACTACAAAAATCATTAGAAAGAGTAGAAGGTACTTAGTTGCCATTTCCTAATAAAATCAGTGGAAAATCTTTCTCTACAGCTAGCACTTTAAATTTTAAAACAAGTTTAAAAATACTGTTTTTATTATTTCATTGGAAACAAATATTTTCCTACTTGAAAAACTGCACTTTATTCTAACCTTCAGCAATGGTTCTCAACTGTTTTATGTGGGTGTTCAGAGTGAATAAACAGTTTAGTAGTTGAGCTTTGGTAGAGGGGGTTATAGAATTCTGAAAAAATACAAAGAAATAGTTGGGAACCTCAGCTTTTTCCTAATGCATTGTGATGGGAATCCCTAAGTTCCTTTATTAACCTTATACAATTGATAAAAATTAACTCTTAACTCATACTATTTACAACTCATAAATTTGTTTTAATTAATAAAATAACTAATATAGTAATATTAGGATTTAGTTTTGACTAATATTTTTCTGCAATGATTGTTAAAGACTGATACTTAGTGCATTACATTTCCAAAGAAAATGAATTTAGTTAGGTAATGATCTAACATTAACACTGTGTGTTGCATATTGACCTAATGCATGTTTTGGGCATGGTTTGCTGTGTTTCCAGACGAACTAGAACAATCCCGTGATCAGAATGCCCAGTTGAGACTGGAAATGGATCAATGCATCACTGACTTGGAAAATCTCTAGTGTTCATGACAGGTGGACTTTTAGCTTTTTACAAAAGGAACTGTTTTAAGAAAAATAGCCATCATTATTTAAATGTAACAAAGATTTAATTGGATAAAATAAAAAATTATTTTAAGCCTTCCATAAATTCCACCACGCCAATCTACTATTTTCACTTGTTTTTAAAGACAACATGAACTTGTGTAATGACAAATGTTTTTCTTGTCTCAGACGAGCTCCTGGCAGAGAAAGAGAGGTACAAGTCAATTTCGGACGAGCTGGATTCCACGTTTGCCGAACTTGCTGGCTACTGAGCCTCCTATTGCCTTTATCGACAACATTGATACAAGAGCTTCCTCATCATTTCACTCATTGTCGCAGTTATTTATATTTAATAGGCTCGGTCTGTTGCCAGTTTTTTCAAGATCCACTATGGCAATGTTGTCCACTTTCTCGATAGCTTGTAAAAACTCTTTTTTTCTGCCCACATTGGAATTATATGCCAAGTAATCTAGTAATATTTTTACCAAACAAACATTTGATGAAAATTGTGTGTATGATGAGGAAATTAATGGTTAACCGAACACTATCAGGAAGACCAAACAGACATTGTATAAAATTGTTCTTGCTTGCACCTTTCATATTTTGTACAGAGAATGTTATTGCTCTAACAGTTTTATGTCGGCTAAAGCATGATGTTGAAGAAAATATCTTCAAGAAGATTCTGCTCAGTGCACTATCTGATGTATCAAAGTATGTTTCTAATTAAATGACCGGGCATTGTCATTGTAAAAGCACTCCAGTGATAAGTATGACCAACTTGTTCACTTATCCATTTGTCTTTGATCATCTCTGAGTTGAGTTTTCCAACACCATGTTTTAGCCAAGCTACAGTATGTGACAACTCATGGGGTTATGTTTTTTAGCTGGTTTTAAACATTGGTTGTCAAAATGAGTTGCAATTAGAATGTTATTTATTAAACCACCCACATCCTGGGGTGAGAACAACCATTTATAACCCCAGGTCAGGATGCTAGGCTCAGGTGTGTGCTCCACATTGTTCAGGCTTAACAACAATTTGCCAGTCTATCAACACACGTACAACCCTTGCTTAACATCTGTCGAGGGACAGCCAGTCACACTCTTGTTCCACCTGTTAGTCATATTCCACACCAAGACAATTTGAAGCACAACCCTGGTGCCCCTTCTTTCCTAGACCTGGCAACTCCACTTCATCACTCATTCTTTGCTTTCCTCACAGTGGCTAGAAAATATACACCCTATGTTGAAAACATTTAAAAGTTTGAGTATACAATGTCTACCATCAGAATTTGTACATTTAAGAATTTAAAGAAAAAAATTTGAGCAACTAAGCTAAACCATTTGTCTAGTGCTAAATATGAATGTACCAATAGTTCAGTATGCTTCTTATCAATTCTGGAAGAAAAAAAGATCCTCATAATAAAAAAAGCTTATTAAATACTGTGTATTTATTTTCTATCGAAATAATGTGCTGTGTATTTATTTAAACTTCTAAGTCTTAATTCCTTTTTTAAAATGCTTCATCTATCTGTAAGAATGAAAATTACTTCTAAGCTGGACTTAACCCAGTGCACTCTGTACAAGAGCATAATTTTGAAACAAAATATTTTAACTGTTAACTTCCTGAATTTGTAATTTGATTAAAAGTCTTTTTTTTTCTTTCGCTCATGGATGCTGACTTTTATTTGTAGCCTTTTGTAATCATTGTCTAGAAATAAGCTTTTTCTACACACAAGACCAAAGTTATGTACTTGCTTACATATAGCATTTTATCTTCTGTACAAATCTAGCAGCCTCTTTGCTAAGCTTAAACACTTCCGGGCTTCATTAAAGAATTTCACATAAAAGAATTAGCTGTAGTTTTGATTTGCTTACTTTAATGCTACTATACAACTCCATAACAACAAACCTCAAATTGTGAAAAGTTAAAGGAAATACACAGACAAGTAAAATAACTCCTTGCACTTTATTTCATCAACAGAAAATATTAAGTTACATGTATATTAATATTTTACATCTTTAAATAGATTTAAATGTACAACTTTGGATAAAATAAATGAACAAATATAATATGATCCAACAGATGACGAATCTACTGCAAAGTGAAATTTTAAAACTTGTAATACACAAGACAATAAAATATGATTCTACTATAGCATGTAAACAAATTACTGGGTATTAAAATGGACCTGTTACATGAAATAAGCCATAATGCACAGCAAAAATAATCAGTTACAACATCACATTGTAAACTTTAACTTTAAGCTACTGAATATACAATTGTAACTTGAGGCTTTGAAAATGCATCATCAAGATAGTGATATGGCCCAGTGAGGCAATCATAATCATATAATGCCAAAGATATGATTTTAAAAAGTACACCTCAGACTTAAATTACAAATAATTAATCATATCCTAACAGATATGCCTAAATTATTTTGCTCCTGAGCCTACAGTTCATAGTTATTTTAATTACTGAACTAATAGTGGAGTACTAAAATGGCACTTGGATTTTGTCACCAGTATTCAGGAGATACTCCTCCAATGGTACCAGTGTGTAGGATCCTAGGCTGTCTAAAACCCACTCCCTCATCACAGTTAACAGTTTCATGTGTTTATAGAATCCTGAAAAATGTTTCATTTTAAAAACTTATTAAATAATCGAGAATACATTTTGACAAGGTTGATCAATACTACAAGGGGTTAAAAACAACTCAGAATATAGTGTTTACCATACACAAGTAAGGAGAAGGACAGTTGTATTTCGTATGTGGACATGTTCTGCATAGAGCCAGGGACACAGACATTCCATGTGGGTTGGGAATGATTTGGCTACTTTAAACCTGAACTCCTTACTTCATAGTGTAAGCAAAAATCAAGTGATGAATATGTTTAAATCCCACCGGAGATGGTGGATTGTTTGAACATGAACCTCTCACAAAAAAGATAGTTACCGTTGAATATATCCAATTCCACAGGGGATGGTGGATTGTTAGAATCAGAACATCTAACAATAAACTTGTATTTCTCCTTCTGAGAAAGAAGAGCTATTGGGTCTTCAACAGTTGAGGCTCCACAAGCAAGCAGCACATCAAACAAACTCTCTGTAAAATAGTTTGTACATTAGATTTTTGGTATTCTGTTGCCATCAGTCTCCAAGGTTAAGCAAAATCAAAAACTTAAATCTATCATTCAGGCTTTATTTTAATTATAGAAATAATACATAAGACCTCCGTAGACAGCCACTAAAAACACACTAAATAATGACAGTGAAAAAATACTTTTTTTAATGAATGAATGGTTGCCATAATGACACTTGAAATGTTACTGGTAAACCTTATCAGTTAAAACATCTTGTGTAGTACACACCTTTAGGCATCTCCTCACATTCTCCTACACAGGCAAAGCAAAAATCACGAAACAAAGGATCCTTAGTTAGCCTTGAGCGTCTAGCACCATTTGCAGTTTCTCCCCCAGATGTATCTCCTTCTATTTCAAACCCAACCTATAAACATTTGAATGCATGAGGTATTAAAGTTTTACTTCTTAATTAAAATATGAGGGCGTCTGACACTTATAAAACAACAGCCACCCAGTTTTTAAACAACTGGCCAGCATAAAACAATTTACCTCAATAGAAGTTAGTCTTGAACAGCTAGCCATAATTAAACCTCACCTAAGATCTGTCTTGTTTGTAAACAACTGGCCACCATAAAGCAACTTACCTCAGGTAACAGCCGTCCAGTTTGTAAACAGCTGGCTACCATAAAACAACTTACCTCAGGTAACAGCTGTCAAATAACTGGCCACTATAAAACAACTTACCTCAGGTAACAGCCGTCCAGTTTGTAAACAACTGGCCACTATAAAACAACTTACCTCAGGTAACAGCCGTCCAGTTTGTAAACAGCTGGCCACCCAGTGTAATGATAAGATCCAACATTTATGGGCGACTCCTTGAAAAAACTTGAGAGTCCTATCACAAACTCTGTCATATCCTTCAACTGTTACAAAATTTATCAGAAAAGTGAATGGAATGATAAGCTTAATTAATTAAGAACTAATTACTTGTATATCCAAGGTCACACAAGAAGTGTTTTGTAGCAGCCAAAGTTCACAACAACAGCAGATTTCAAGTACAGAGAGCAAGTTTCAAGTTTTACCTGTTTTCATGATGACATAAGATACTTCTTTAGTGAACTTTGGGGTGAATTTTACTCCAAATTTTTCTATGAACTTCGCCAATAACATCTGCAAAAACAATTATACAAATTTTTTTTTTTAAATTCATTTTCTTTTTAAAAATAAGCAGAGGTTTAAATTTAGTGGACGTGATGGTCAGAGGATATGATTGCAAATTACAAAAGTCCAGAGTTAGAAACTGACCCCCCCCCCCCCCCCCCCCCCGATGAGGCTCATTAGCTTGGAACAGCAACGCATCTAGAAAAGTAAAATCTAAAATAAATAGACCGGGAGTTATCTCCCCTAAACTTTCTCGAATATTCTTATATAACACTACGGGGGATGGCAACCTGGGATATAGACATGATTTTTAATCAATTTTTGATTACTTAAAACTTTTTAAATAGAATATAATCTCGTAGAAAAAAGAATTGCGAACCAAGTGAACGCCAAACAATCTGTGTATAATAGTGCAGAATATTATTAGTACTTTATACATTCATAAGCAGTTTTTTGAGAAATCAGAAATAGCGTAAATTACTACTTCTGGTCAACAGAAATTACTCAAAATTTGAAAGAAGGCATAGAATTAGATCTTTTACTTATACATGAAATTTTGTTTATCTATCTGAAACAGTACTCAAGTTATAGGCTTTTGAAAAACTAAAAGTAGAGTAAGTCCCACTTCCGGTTATTGGAAATCGCTGAAAAGTTGATACAGAACTACAAATTTGATATAATACTTGTATATGAAATTTCATCAACCTAGCTGTAATGGTACTCAAGTTATCGTGTTCACAGACAAATTTACTCACACAGAATTGCAAAGCCCAGTTTTTCCAACTCGATTACGCATAGAACACCAAAATTTTGATAACTGCATTTATTATTTTTGCCCGATTAAAATAAGTCCCCTATACTCCGTATATGATGAAGTACTGAGGTGTAAAATAATGAAAACTCAAAATTTCATGCGATTTTTGTGCACGATTACAATACTTCCTCTATACTCGGTATACGAGAAAGTAAAAAGACATGAAAATAAAAGAAATTCATAAAATTGTTTTGATAACAAGCTTTTAAGTAATAAGGCACCAAAAAGTAGAAAATAAATGATTTTCCTTAAATATTTAATAATACACTATTTAAATAACTATAAGGAAAAGCGTGGGTCACTTTATTAACTATTGTATACTTTTACTAATATTTAGGAAGAGAACAACGCTTACTCATATCCTACTGTAGGTATCCTACTTACATTGTCATCTTTTCCAAGTCCAGATGCCACAAGACAAATCTTCTTGGCTACATGATGTCGAGGTGAGACTGTGTGCTCCGTTTTTCTAGTCAGGGACTGCTGAGCTTGTTTGCTTTTCTGTGAGAGAATTACTGGGCTTGCTGGTCTTGCTTGGTCTTCAAGAGGCGACAGCTGGAAAACTTCAACAGGCTCTTTAGATTTGGTCTTGTCCTCAGGACAATGAGAAATGGGCTGCGAAGGTTCTTTTTTGGACATTTTTTCAGTTTTCTTGTCAGAGTGTTGGCCACTAGAGGGAAGGAACTCTATGTGTTTCTTGGCGCGTATACTCCCTCCAGGGGACTGAAACTGCTTCAGTTTTGATTCACCATATCTTGACTTGGGCATTGTTTTTCTGTTAGCTCTGGAGTTTTTATTTTGTATTGGAGATTTAATAGGGCTGATAAACAAATCATTACTGTCATCACTGCTAAGTAGTGTGGGACAACTGTCTTCAACTGTCATGACGTCATCTGTGTGAATGGAAAGGTTAGTGACATGAGTAGTGTGGGACAACTGTCTTCAACTGTCATGACATCATTTGTGTGAATGAAAAGGTTAGTGACATGAGTAGTGTGGGACAACTGTCTTCAACTGTCATGACGTCATCTGTGTGAATGGAAAGGTTAGTGACATGAGTAGTGTGGGACAACTCGTCTTCAACTGTCATGACATCATCTGTGTGAATGGAAAGGTTAGTGACATGAGTAGTGTGGGACAACTGTCTTCAACTGTCATGATGTCATCTGTGTGAATGGAAAGGTTAGTGACATGAGTAGTGTGGGACAACTGTCTTCAACTGTCATGACGTCATCTGTGTGAATGGAAAGGTTAGTGACATGAGTAGTGTGGGACAACTGTCTTCAACTGTCATGATGTCATCAGTGTGAATGGAAAGGTTAGTAACATGAGTAGTGTGGGACAACTGTCTTCAACTGTCATGACGTCATCTGTGTGAATGGAAAGGTTAGTGACATGAGTAGTGTGGGACAACTGTCTTCAACTGTCATGACATTTTATGTGTGAATGGAAAGGTTAGTGACATGAGTAGTGTGGGACAACTGTCTTCAACTGTCATGACGTCATCTGTGTGAATGGAAAGGTTAGTGACATGAGTAGTGTGGGACAACTGTCTTCAACTGTCATGACATTTTATGTGTGAATGGAAAGGTTAGTGACACGAGTAG